TTCGGATCCCACATGTGAGGGCCAGTGACACTGCGTCCTCCACAACTAGACTGAAGAACAAAAGAACAGCAACTTGTCTGTTCCCCTTCCCCGATTCCCCAAAGCTGTTCCCCTCCCCCAATTCCCCAATAAAAATCTTAAAAAGAAAAAAGAAAGTGTCAATGAATGATAAGCAAATGAGTCCTTCACTCAGCCTCAGACTGTCCCTAATTAGCTGCCCCAAACTCTGACCCCCTGAACATCTTCCCACCCCAACCTGCATGTCCCTAGCTTGCTCCCACCACTCTGAATCCAGAGTCTGGACTATATCACAGAAGAGTACCCCTTTGAACTAACAAGATTGGAATCCCAGAGACTAGAGGACTTCCGGTAAGATGGTGGAATAGACAGACGCTGTGCCAATTGCCTCCCAGGATCACACTAAAATTACAAATAATTTATACAACATTCAACCTTGGAAGTCCCCTGAACACTAGATGAACAGAACCTCTAAAAGAAGGACTTAAAGAGGAGGCCACGTCGAGTCTGGTAGGAGGGGCAGAGATGAGAGAGGGCGAACCCTGTGAAGGACGCCTCAGTGTTAGAGAGGCTTCTCCAGTTGGAGGAGAGACCCTCCAGGCCCACACCGAGCTCACCAGCCCAGAGTTACTTTGCTGGGAAAAGGAGTTCTACGATAGCTGGCAGTAGAAATTAGTGAGGACTCTCTTTGCTCAACTTGGTAAGGCTGAGAGCAGCTAGAGAACCAGTGGAGCCGGCACAAGGACTTGCTCGCTGGTAAGCACTCACCCAGTTCCTGGTGGAGGGAGTAGCTGTGTGAGCAGGGCCCAGGAGCCTGTGGGGAAGGACTGAACTGAGTGCCTTTGGCGCGGGAACTGAAGGTTTTGGAACCACTGTTCCCCTGGTGTGGAGCTTGCACATGAGTAGTGCACAGGAGGGCGCCATTTTTTCAGGGTTGGGCCCTCCCACAGAGGCTCAGGTCCGGGACCGCATTGGTCTGCTGGAATTGGCGCAGGAGTGTGTGCATGCGTGCGCATGCGGCCTTGGGTTCCCCACCCTCTGCACTGCTTGTGCTGAGTAGCCAGGGAAGATGCCTGGCGGGCGTGATCCGACTTCAACAAGCTGCTCATTGAGACACAGGAATGCATGAGCCGCCTTGGGTCCCCACTGTCCAAACTGCAAGTGCAGAGTTGCCAGGGTGGCAACTGGCTATCGGGGTGCTTGGCCTGATCTGTGAGTGGCTGATTGGGATAGGCTGAGACTGAGAGTTTTCCTGGGAGTGTTGAGCTGTGAGCTGTGCGCCTGCGTGATCCAGCTGGGGCTTTCCTGGCAAGTTTGTGCGGGCTGGTTGCCGGTGCAGGAGTGCATGCTGCTCTGACTTGGTGGGGGCCACTGACCACACCCTGTGGTGCCTTGGGGGCCTGCCCCGTCCTCCTAGAACTGTGTTTCTCGGGGCACCCTGAGCCCCTGGTGCCTGGCCCCCACCTCTGCAGGCCACAGAGGGTTTTTTGCAGCAGCCAACAGCCCGCAACCACCTGTGAGGATTTTTGGTGGTGAGCACGGTTCCACAGCACACAGCAGCTAATTGCAGGAAGCTCACTGCAAGATTGAGAGGGAGCCTGGCACATGACATGTTGAGCCCTTCCCCGCAACAGCTGGTGCTGAGTCGCCCAGAATCTCTCTATTGCTGAGCAAGTGGTCTGCAGATTAAAGCAGGTGGAGAGCTCCCTTTTTTCCTTCTTTTTTTTTTCTAGGTGATCTATCTAATACTTCAAAGCAATCATAGAGCGACAGGCAGAATGAAGAAACAAAGAAACATGTCCCAAGTAAAAGATCAGAAGAAACCTCTGGAAATGAAACTAAATGAAACAGAGGTATCCAACCTTTCAGAGACAGTTTAGAACACTGATGATAAGAATGTTTAAGGAACTGAGTGAGGACATAAGGAAGGATAGAGAAATCATAAAAACAACCAGTTAGAACTAAAGAATACAATAACTGAAATTAACACACTTGAAGGAATCACCAGTAGATTAGATGAAGCAGAGGATNACCCAGTCCACTTGGATATTTGACCTTGAATAACATCAGAGAATCAAACAAACAACATTAGGGGCTAAGGGCCTCTAAAGGCATGAAAACCAACCCCTTTGTTTTGTGAGTGTTACAAAAGCCCACAAAAAGTTCCAGCATGTCCCCAAAGTTATAAAGGGGTTCAAGAGGTTCAACAGTCACTGTTACCAAGGAAGTTGCTCTAAGGAGGGTTATCTCTGTTGAATAGGTTTACTGTCTCCACACTTTCACTTGCAGCTGAGAATTTCTCATTTTTCGTCCATGTTCACCTTTAGCTAAGTGGGAGACAAACTTCAACCTCAAAAGCACCAAAACACAGGACTTCCACGTGACCTCAGAGATGGTGGTGCAGGTACCCATGATGACACGCGAGGATCAGTATTACTACCTCCTGGACAGAAACCTCTTCTGCAAGGTGGTGGGGGTTCCCTACCAAGGGAATGCTACCGCTTTCTTCATTCTTCCCAACAAGGGCAGGATGGGGCAAGTGGAGGCTGGCCTGAACCAGGTGACACTGAGAAACTGGCTCAAGATGCTCACAAAGAGGTAATCTTCAGATTCTACCAGGGCCAGCCTAACCCTACACACTCCCAAAAAGACACATGTCCCCTAGGGCCACTCAGTGGTGGTGGGAAAGACTCACCCAGCCCAAGAGCTGCCTCCAAGCCCAAAGACATCTGGTGAAGTCCCAGCCGCCAAGGCCTGGCCCAGCTGCAGGGAGCAGAGCTGGACGCCCTTGGTCGTGCCATCAGAGAGGGCAGTGACCTCTGAGGAAACCCAAGTCCAAGTCCAGAGTGAGATGGGCTCTACTTTAGGCAAGGGGCTGAAGGGTCACTATGAAGCTGAGGGGAGGTGGTAGGAACATGATCTAGTGAACCAATGCTCTAAAGGGTCTAAGAAAGGTCCTGGTTGCTTTCTAGGAAGCTCCTGCTTTACCTCCCCAAGTTCTCCATTGAGGGCTCCTATCAGCTGGATAAAGTCCTCCCCAAGCTGGGGATCAGAGACATCTTCACCTCCAATGCTGACCTGACCGGATTCACTAACCACTCCAACATCCAGGTGTCTGAGGTGAGCCGAGAAGGTCCTGAGCATCTACTTTCTGAGGCGACCTATTTTATTCGAATCCTATTCTATTCTATCCCATCCCATCCCATCCCATCCCATCCCATATTCTCTCTTTCTCTCTCTCTCTCTCTCTCTCTCTCTCTCCCAACCCCCCCTTTCCCTTCAAGAAGCACAGATTTCACTTTGTACCTTATACCCTTTGTGCAATGGGAAGCCATGTCCATCACTACCTCGGGAAGGAGCCGTGTCAGGCAATCAAAACTAAAAACCGGGTGGTGTGCCCTTCATTCATAGCTGCGTGACCTCCAACAATTACTTGACCTCTCTGAGCCTCCTTCCCCTCCATAAAATCGGAGAGAGTCCTACTCTCGCTGTGAAATGCTATTGAAAGACTCATGTGCACGCGTCATTTCCCACGTGCTTTGAGGCTCTGCTGCACAGAAACTGACAGTGATGCCACAAACAGAAGCTTTGCCATTTTCTGTGCTGGCATCTTCCAGGCCCTGGTGACTTGGTGATGTCTGGTGTCTCCTCTGCAGATGGTGCACAAAGCCGTGGTGGAGGTGGATGAGTCGGGGACCAAAGCAGCTGCAGCCACGAACACAGTCTTCGCGTTTAGATCGGCCCGGGTGGGCTCTCAACTGGTAGTGTTCAACAGGCCGTTTCTGATCGTCATTGTGGAGAACACTGAGAACATCCTGTTCCTTGGCAAACTGATGCGCCCCTGAGGTGGGGATTTCTCCCGAAAGGCCATAGACCTCCATACATAGCATAGTGGCCATCTATCTGCTGAGAGCTAGTGATCTGCACAGGTTTAGTTGACTAATGAGACTTTCACAAATAATAATAGCAATAGTGTTATACTGATGATTACTTCTTTTCACACGATTGCAAAACACAGGTGCCTTGAAGAACCTTGGAGGACATTCAGTCTTGCCTCACCTTTCATCAGTGGAGATTAGCACCGAGGCCCACAGAGTTTGGTTGACTTGCTCAAGGTCACACAGCATGTTAGTGGCAGAGCGTAGCCCAGGATCTAGGCCCCTGATTCCCAGCCCAGCCCCACAAAGCTCTACAGGAAGGCTGTTCCATAGACATTTCCACCAGGAACCGTACTTCTAAGCCTAGTCCCCCACTTGTCAGCAATACCAGCTATCAATTCATCATGGTTTGGAATGAACACTGGAATGGGAGTCTGGAATGGGGCTTCTGTCGCAGCTAATAAGCTGTGTGACATTGGGGTGATACTGTCCTTCTCTGGACTGCCTCATGTGTACATTAAAGGATCAGGTCAAGGACTTGAAGGATCCTTGAAATCATATAAAAAGGCTGAGGTGTTACCTGCCAATCACAGTTGATTTTAATACATTCAAGTGCCACTCATCCTTTAAGAAAAGCAAGTGGACAGCAGGATGGTAATGGCCCATCACAAGATTGTACCATCCTGTGGATGAAGTCAGTCTCATGGGCTTGGCTGGGAAAAGAATGGAGGCCTGTAGAGTATCAGCATAAGACACTGATGACTAGCTGTGAATTTTAGTGTCGGCCATAACAATAAAGCATTTTGCAAACACTGGTGTCATTGTCCTTATGGAAGTAGTTCTGGGAATGGTGACATTAACAGCTTATGCTCCTAGCAAAGTGCTAGGCACTTCACCTGGATTTTACCCCTCACAGCACCCCCATGAAGCAAGCACTATTATCCCCATTTTACAGATGGGGAAGGTGAGGCTTGTTTATAGAGTGGGCAGCTTACCCAGTCACAGCTCCTAAGGGATGGAAGCAGGATTTGGCCCTGGATTGTGGCCCAGGCCCATGTTGTCAGCCCTGTT